TAGAATCGGTGCAATTTAGGAACAAGTTCAACGCATCACACACGGAATCCACGTGCTCTACCTGTCAATCAAATACCGGATATCGATGAATTGCAGAAACTTCTCGTGTATGTATGGAGTCACTCCTTGGCTAATATATTTCACACCTGTTCAGAAGAAAAATATATTGGGACATTCAGTTGCTGTAGCCCTTGGGACATTATTCACATGTTGAAACTCTAGACGAGTGTATACTATACACCTCAACTGGCTTCGAAACTTACATGTACACGTGTCGGGAAGTTAATTGGAACTTGAAAAATAAACAACTATTTATTTAATTGTTTATAGAATTTTTAGTACAGCAACATATTTTTTAAAAAGAAGTTACAGTTACAAACGAATATTATTCGAATATTATTCAACTGTATCTAGATTATATAAAGTCGTTATATACTGTAACATAACTTACATGTACTGGTAAAATGAAGAAAAAAGAAATCATAACTCTCCATGTCGTAAAATTGTCTCTCTTTCGTTGATTTTATAATTCATCATTAAAATGCTATTTTTGAAAAGGATTAGAATAAATCCTTAAAAAGGACAGGTAATACAATAAATAGGGATATGTAAATATTGATCTTTTTTTAACATGTCTGTGTAGAAATTATTCATAAAACTCATTAGGAAAAGGGGGGGGGGCTGTTATTAAACGTAGGAAGTGCACATATACAGTTATGCTTGCTTTTATTTAATGGTTTGAAAAATCTCCGCTAGGTACTAGTAAAATATAAAATCTTCAATCTAGTTTTTCAAATCTCCTATGCATATGCTTAGTTAGGCAGTGAACCTATTAACAATTATAGCAGACTTTTTTTTTTTTCATACACGTTATGGAAGAAAACTGTTTGGCTTTTTACATCATTGTTTAACATAGAACACATTGCAGAAATATCATTTTCATTGAATAGTATCATTGGAATTTTTTTCCATTATCGACGTCATTGACAATTGTTGAGCATAATTATAACGTTTTACATCTCATCGTTTACATATTGTGATTATTCTTGGCGACAAGTTTTGTGAAAAATATTGTGCCCATAATGCTTCGATCTGTACACAAAATGCAAGTTAAATATTAAGGTTTATATTTTACACATAATTCTGAACAATTACAAACAGACACAGATGAAAAAGTGGGGCATCTTCAATACCTGAATATCAACATTTCATATTTTTTGATGGGCTGGGCAGAGATTTACTCATTACATAGAGACTACATCGGGTCTCGTCTCAATATGGGTTCCATTACGGGACGGAAATTTAAGTCAATCTTTTCATAACTTTTTTTTTCATCCGATTAAAATCAAATTAAACAATATATTTTCTGTGTCGTATTTTGATGTAGTAATTATTAACATATACAACAGTTTCTACAGTAATTTATAATTTTTTAAAAAAGTACGTCGGATAAGATAATCAATTGACAATTCCACATGGATTTCCTGAGCATAGTGCAAATGCAGAATATTCCTTTCCAATTTTTTTTTTTTTAATTTAGGTTTAGCTTTTGTTTTACAAACAAAATAATCTTTAAGAAGATATCTTCCAAATAACACAAGATTGCTGACTGCATGGTAAAATTCTGTCTTTGTTAAATTCATTGACACGTGTCAGTACAATATCTAAAGTAGGAAAATGCACGCTGCGGATGATATGCATTTCAATGATTTTTATTCTAAAATCTTCAATGAATTATTTTAAAGTCATTTCAAACCACTTAACGTTGATTAACCAGCACGGAGTTCCACGGAGCAAACGCACCGTGTCCCACCGTGTTCACACCGTGTCGCACCGTGTGCCAGCTTAGCGCTGAAAACGAAACATCAAAGACACCGACATTTTTCAAAGTCCACGCAAAAGCGTGGACCAAGGGTCCACCGTGGCCGGTGTTTTCCGGAAGATACTCGTGAGCTGTACTGTAGTTGCAATAATGTAGCCCTCTCCGATTTTTTTAAACTCTGATTTTTTTTCTTTCTCTCTCCCCTAAAAAAGGAGAGGGTTACATTATTGCAGCTAATGTAAAACCATCGTTTAAATTGTCTTTTTTTTACTATGGCTAAAGAGGGATAACTCCATGCACTCAAACGATTAGATTAAAAATGAAATTGAACAACATGTACACGGTATGTGTATTAATACCGGCCTTTGATAGATACACTTAAAAAATGTGATACTTTCAAATGATATTTGGTCGAGAGCGAGAGAATGGAGAGTTTGATTTTGGCGCGAAATTGCGGAAGACAAAAACTTCCGGTTGAAGAAAGTGATGCAATGGTCGTGGTGGGATTTTTAGTTTTCATTCAAACCATCAACCATGTAAGTAACTGCCTTGTATTTAGTGTTCACTTCTTTTAATGTAGCAAGTTTGAAATCATTTTGTACTTCTTGGAAAATGAAGTTTTTGTATTTGTTGTTGTTTGTGTATATATGTTTCCATTTACGACGCGACAGCGTGCAAGCTCTTTGTTCGAGTGCACTAGTTGCTTAAATCATATAGATGCATTGTTTACAGCTAGTTCTTAATTGTACAGATTTCTGAATTTAAGAAAAAAGAGTGGTATAAAACAACTGGTGGGAAAAGAAGAAAAAACCCATCTAAGAAACGAGTATTTATTTTGATATGAACGAAATAACAATTTTCATGCGACGCTGAACATGAAAGCAATCGCCGCTATTCGCGCTTATTCAATTCAAGAGGTTTTAAACCTAATGTCTTTGGCGATTAAGGGTTCAAATATTCATTATGGGAAGGGTTAACAACGTTTGAGAAAATATTACTTATTGAACGAATTATTATTCATATCAGGGACCTATATATATATAGTATATGGGTCCCTGTTTATATTTTTGTGTAAGTCATTATTATTTACCATTTATCATCATTTACAACACTAAACTTTCCACTTTTAACTTTTTATCCCTTTTAATACAATGTACATAGGTTTTTAGCTGTTCACCACAGAATTAATTGACACACAAATTGAAATTGAGTACATGTACTCCACAAAGGGAAAAAGAAGATTATGGTCATCATTATTATTCATTAGAAATTTATTATAAATTAAAAGAGTATCATGATGTTATCATGGTTATTGTTAGGTTTGATAGACTGATAAAGTAATCCACAAAGAGAACATTTTAAAGTCATGGTCAGTTTATCTTCCTAGCTGTCAGAGAAAAAAAATTACAAACATTGATCAATGTCTTGGTTGTTGTCAGTAGAAAAACAGAACAGTGAACTGGAGAAAAGCAGTTGAGAACTAGTAACCTATAGAAATTTAAACCCAGTTTATGATACACAGTAAAAGGAGCTTATAAAAAAAAAATTTGGGCAAAAGGCCAATGACCATTTCGATAAAAAATAAGATCTCTTGATAGTTCTGATTTGCTCACAAAACTGATATAATCTGTCATAAGTCCTCTTTAAAAACCTACACTATTTGAGGACATAATTTATATGAATCAAATGGTGTGTTGAATTTTGGAGTGTAGAGGTGATCTGAAGCTTGTCATGTGATGATTGCGTCATTTATATTTTGTAGATTGGTTGGCAATGAGGCATTGTGTTAGTAGATTTGAATTGGACATTTAACTATACAGACTTGAAATATGTAAGTACTTACAGATTTTAGATTTGCTGATTCATGTCAAATGGAAATTAGATAAAAGCCCTTACTAGTTAGAGTTACAACAAACTTTTCTCTCTTTTATCCAATATAAGTCAAAAACAATTATCTAAGTTTAAAATGTTTACACCATACATTTCAAATAAAAGAAATTCCGTCTTTCTTCATTATTATTCCTAAAGTTCCAAAACATTATTTCTATCATGCAGTTTCAAATATTTTATGTAATAAATTTATTTTGAGCATTGGTAACTAAAGGTTTTTGTAATCAAAATAAAAATTCAGTACATTAATTACAATGGTGATTTTTATGCCCCCCCCCCCCAAAAAAAAACAAAAACAAACAAAAAAAAAAAACAAAAACAAGTTGGTTTAGATTTTATGTTCCTGTCTCAATATAATGCATTATTTTAAGCTTTATTTAATCCAAGTAAAAGAAAAATCTAAACTTTTTAAGGAATTACTGGTATACGTGTCAATACTGTACTTTTTTAAATTTTTGGAGTTCCATTGTTGTCTTTGAATTGATGTACACATGCATACGAGCAAATATCTATTGACTAGTTATTAAAAACTTTAAAAGTAAAATCAGAAGGGGGATAAAGACTGCTTAAAGTAATATACAGAGTTTTCAATCAAATTGGTGCATGATCACATTGTGATTCAATGAATTGAACTTTGAAGTGAACAAATTACCTTGGAAAGCACTGAAGTGAAGAAAATGTATACTTTGAAATAAGTATTTTGCAATAGTGATCTATCTGTATATCAGTTTTTAAAGATAAGATGTAATTTAAAAAAAAAAAATCCCTCACAAGGGGCCACAAACTCATACATGCAAGTCAGTCTTTTGAATTCCAAATCAGTTAAGAAGTGTTGTTTTGAAATAATATTTATACATGCATATATTAGTTTATTCCAAGCAATAAGTAAGTTCCAGTTATGAAATCAGAAAAAAAAAATTATGACTTTTTTTTTAATACAGGTATGTATTGTAAGGAATCTAAGAGTGCTGAATTTAAATTTTCCACCTTAGTAACTTTTATTCTACACTTATGTTCATTAAATTTGAATTCTATATCATAAACATGATTGCATAATATGCTGTGCTTTCTAAAATTTCTTCATCCTAGTCATTTCTCGGGGGTCAATTCATCATTGTAGCATTTTATATGTTGATAAGGAAGTCTGTACACATCTGACTTGCTCAGTACTTAAAATATTTGTTATGTAGAAAAAATATGTATTTCTATGAAAGGACTAATACATGTCCGATGTGTACATGCACTTTATTTATCAATATATTGTGCATAAAATGTCCACAAGTTGAATATGTCTCTGATAAAGAAATATAATAAAGAGTATAGCATGTAAGTTAAATATAAATGCAGTCAAAGTTATCTCAAATTTGATGGGACCAAGAAAAAACTGAGAAATATCTGAGGATTTGAGATAAAGAGGTTAAAATACATATATAAAGAAAGAATACATAATTAAGACTTCCAAGTGATTCCAACATATCCATGGTATTAGAGATATCCATGTTCGAGATAATGAAGTTTATTAAATGTACACTTAATAAAAGTTTTCAGCCTTTAGATATTTAAATGTAATGTACCTTAAATTGATTTTTTTTTTTGCAGGTTGAGTACAGTTTTAGGCAGCTTGGCCAGTTTCTCTAAGATCACTGGCAGTAGTGACGACGACTGGATTGACCGCCTTAACCACCTATGGACAGTGGTTCTATTGACTTTATTTGCAGTGGTGACATCATCTGGTCAGTATGCAGGTAACCCAATCGAGTGTTGGGTGCCAGCTGAATTCACAAGTGCATACACAGCTTATGCCAAATCTTTCTGCTGGGTCTCAAACACATACTACGTCCCTCAGGAAGAACCTATACCACATAGAGTAGCCGATAGATATGACCAAGAATTGACTTACTATCAATGGATACCCATCATTCTTATGTTTCAAGCACTCATGTTCAAAATTCCAAATATTGTTTGGCGTATGTTGAATGGACAGTCAGGTGTGAATATCGAGAAGATAACAACACTGTCTGAGACGGGGATGCTCGGAGACCCAGAAGATAGAATGAAAAATATCTCTCATCTTGCCAAGTACCTTAATCGCTGGATCCAGACACATAGAGAGTATAGGTACAACTTCTTAGTCAAAGTCAGGGAAAAGTATTCCAATGTGCTGTGTTTTTGTTGTGGAAAGAGAGATGGAACATTTCTCACCGGTTTTTACATGTTCACCAAATTTCTGTACTGTGCCAATGTTGTGGGGCAGTTTTTCCTTCTGAATGCATTCATGGCTACAGATTTTAACATGTTTGGATTTGAAGTGATTGAAAATTTTATTTATGACAGGAACTGGAGAGAATCGCCTCGATTTCCGCGAGTGACTTTGTGTGACTTCAAAATTCGTCAGCTTGCCAATCTTCAGACTTTCACAGTGCAATGTGTCTTGCCCATCAATCTATTCAATGAAAAAATCTTCACTTTTCTATGGTTTTGGTTTTTTCTTTTAGCTGCTCTTTCCTTTGGAAACCTGTTCCACTGGATATATGTAATAGTATTTGGAGAAAATAAAGTCGCGTACGTCCGAAAATATCTCAAGGTAGCTGGTGAAATTCACACAAACTTTGACAAGAAACTCTCGAGGAAATTTGCAGAGCATTACTTAAGGTCTGACGGAGTCTTTGTTTTGAAGCTGGTTGGAAAGAACACATCTGCTATGTTTATATCAGACCTAATTCAGTTACTATGGAAAACATTTAAGGAGGAGAACTGTACCAGGAAGCAGAATGGGGTAACAGAAGTGGAGGTAGAGACACCTTTAATGAATGGAAATTGTCAAATGGGAGACATGGAACCCCCTTCATTAAAAAGCAAACTGTGAATCTCATATGTTTTTATGTAGTCATTTTATACATGTTATATGCCAAAATCAAAATGACTGAATTGGGTATTATTATCTTGCATGTGAGAATGAATTTGAATGTTTGGCAGATTGAGAATCTGGTAGATGTAATTTTTTTTCCCCCCAATTGCTTGAGTACTCAGTAGTCTAGAGTAGATTTATTTTACTGATAGTTATTATTGAATGTTAGTGGTAGAACTGTTTAGTGATAGAGTTATATCTGTTTAGTAGTAGATTTATTGATTGATAGATTTGTTTTTGTATTCCCTTTTGTTGTGTTAGACTATTGTGTCTTGTCAGTCTAGTCATACACATGGTGCTTAAGTTCTCAATAATAAGAGAAAAATCTCATGTTGTTTTGCATGTAGTTGTCTATGTAATGGTTTGATATTGAAAAAAGTTTTATTTTTATTGAGTTTTGTTTTATATTATTATGATCATGAGTATTAAGTTAATTCTCTTACTAGTATGATCTCTAATCATATATATCTAGGAATACTGGAATAATCTAAGTATATTGAATTGATTTTTTTTGTCAACAAACAATTGGGACCAATTAAGCAAATATAGTATATTTCTTTTCATGTTAAAGATGTTTTCATTCACTTAAACTTTTCACGCACAGCCGCATAGAATCAGTTATTGAAACACATTTTCACACCTATAATGTTATCCGTACTTACTGCCTGTTATAGCAGTAGCACTGCCTACACATAAGTATTATGTTTACGTTGTGTTTTTCCTTTCATGTACATGTACGTGATATTATTTTTAAGAGGCTGTTTTTCCCACATGTTCAGCATTTCAATCTGTTTGTTCATTCGCCCACTATGCGATAGCATATACATGAGAATTTATTTTCTTATATATAGAAAAATAAATCTGCCTTTGTATTTAAAGAGATTTATTAAATTTAACATTCAGTGATCAAGCTTAGTGCATGTACTTTTAATTCTAAATGTATATTACATTAAATAGACTTAAGATTACTAGCTTTTGTCAATCAGTTTATAAGGTTTTAAAATACATTGCCTGTAGAAAAATTTTAAATTCACCTGCTTAAGTTAATCAAGAGTTGAAAAAATCTGTATACTTCTACTAAGAGCTTAACAGACTTAAACTTTATAAATGAATAGTATTTGATCACCAAATGCTTGTGGCATGCAACTAGCAAATAACGAAATGAACAATGGACTACCAAATACATAGACGGATAAATCCATACAAGTATTATTTTAGTATACAGCAACACTGTTCTTGTGATTCTTGAAGTTTGTTAATTGTAAAATTGTACCATTTGCAGCAGTGTTTGTTTAAATTAAAAAAAAAAATATGAATTACAAAAAAGTTGCTGATTTACTTTTTAATGAATTTATTTTTAGGATGACACATAACAAGCTAAATTACATGTTCTTAATAAGAAGACATTTATCATGTTTCATCATTCTAGATCATGACTCATTTGTTTTCGCTATGGAAAATATTTTTTGGTTACTTAACAGTACATGTTCTAGTAGATACTTCAAGAGACTTAGTCAATGTAATTGTAATAACGAGATATTTTCAAGTGACTTTTCCTGCTTCTTAGGACGTTGACCAGCTTGTTATGACAGACTTTAGTCAAGCACTCCTTAGTGTCCATGTAAAGTGTTGTGTTGAATATTTTGCGATTGAAATCAGACACTTGATTAACACTGTAGTCACAATGTAGATAGTATTTAAGCACAAGAAAGATAGATTGGTCTTTCATTTAAAATACATTTGGAACTTTATCCATACTTATCAGTCTATCCCATTTGATCAGCATTGTTGATGATCATTACCTGTGTTTTACTGATAGCTATATTTTGTGCCTTTAGCAACGTTAAAGCATTTTCACAGATTTCAAGATTTAACCTCTCTATATTCTATTGATTTTTGTAAATTAATATCAATAAAGATTAAAATTAAGATAGAATTGAGGGTAGATTCTGGGTCTTAGGAAGGAGGTCCAAAGTCATGTTTAGTGTTAATAACTGCGTAAAATTTAAAACACTGAATATCTTGGAAGGATGCAATAATTATTGACCCCCAATTTCTCTCCTCCCCCCCCCCCCCCCCCTTCCCCCTGCTAGAATTGCCTTTGAAGATATATTCAATATAGACAATTTTGAGTCTATGAAAAAAATAATAAGGGAATAATGATAATGTTTATACTGTCAAGTTTATACATAGTTGCAGTAGTAGTGTGTGAATTAGAGGATATGCCATCTTGAAATTGAGCACCTACAAACTAGAGAGACACTCACATGAAGTGGCATATTCATAAATCTTAAAGTTAGTGATGTGAAATTTCTAACAGATGGTTTCAATTTAATGCTTCCACATTGCTGGTTTTTGCATTTAGTTTTCATGGTTTTACAAACTATTACTTGAACATGTGCAAGATCTCAACAGATTTGAGTGGCATTATATTGTGTATTTTTTATGTTATTTAATGTTGTACTAGTATTGTTAGAAGTGTAGGATTAATCGGCTTACTGATTGTAATACTCTGTTGAATTTTGGAGATCAGGTTGATCTGAAACTGGCAATTTTCCATGTCCTCCAAAATTGATGTTCATATAATCATTTCATGTAAATGTCATGAATACAATGATCCTGGCATGTGATGAGATTTGTTACTATATATTTGTACAAATTACAATATAATGTGTTTTTGACCTTTGTTTTAAATTCCCGTGACTTATATTCAAATCAGTATTCCTCTCTTTAACTTTTATTTAATTTTGTGTTATGTTGTTTTGTTGTTTTTTCAATTTTTTTAAAAACATCTCATGTACTAAGTAGTCCTGGCATTTTATGTGACCATCTCATGCATACAGACCAAATACTCATGTCATTCAGAAAAAGGAGCTGTTTTACCAGCGGCCCAAAAAGTTGCTCAAGAAATAAAACAAGAATATTCCAGAAATAATTGCTTTGCTTATCCTTTATTAAGGTGTTAGACTGCTGGTTTGAAAATGAGAAGACGAACCTTAAAAATTCTTATGAAAGACATCTGTCATCATTCGAATTAATGATAGACTATATTTGCAAACAGTCATTGTATCACCAGAGAATTTGCAAAATGTTAATTGCAAACAAGATTGTTGATATCCTTGTATCATTAACTTATTTGTCAGTAGCCTGTCTCATTTTAGAAATTGATTGTATGTAGAACATGCTCTTGCATGAGACTCATCTCTCTGTCTGAGACATTTTCAGACATAAACTCCATGTGCAGGTTATATAGTGGTATATTGCTACTTAAATAAGGAAAGTTGATAGTAGAAAAGTTGAAGTCATCATGTTTATCGTAAAGTTTAGTTGTTAGTTTGCAGTCAATGTCTTTTTCAGTATACATCCAAGTATGAAACAGATGTGTCAGACTCTGTCATGTCTTTTGTTTCTAGTTTAATTGGATACTGTAGATTCCTAAATATATGCGAGGAATTAATTATCGTGTAATTACGCGAGACGCACCACTCGCGAAATAAAATTTCTCACTTTTATTTTTATGGTGCTGAAATCAATTATAAAATCCCTTGATCAACCATCCACTCATGAATTATTGTTCTCGTGATTTGACATGAAAGAGACATTAATAAGTACTCGTGAAAAATAAGGAATCTACAGTATATTGAATTAATGTAGAACTGAAAATGAACATTTGTTAATTGACAAAATGTAGATAAATCTCAGTGTTGATTAGAAGGCCACAGCAAGAGATTTCTTTTCATGTAGCAGGGTTAGAAACTCCCTAAAATTACAACTCGCAAATAATTGCGAGTACCAAGAAAGTGAACTCGCAATTTTGTAAGACTACTCGCAATCTTCATATAAAGTTAAATTTATATAAATTAAATACATGTAACTTAAGGAAAAAGTAACTACTGTACAATACACAAAATACAACTACAGTGTGATTTTTAGTTAAATTACTGATTTAAATCGAAAGCATTTTGTTCTGTCATATTATATATTTTTGATACAGTTTCAATGCAAAAAAAAAATCAACTCGCAAGTTTTTGCGAGTTACTTAATTTTTAACTCGCAATTTGGGAATTCTAACTCGCGTTTTGCGAGTTGTATATAGTGAATTTCGAACCCTGATGTAGTAGTTTTTGAATATAAAGATAATATTAAAAGTTGAATTTTGGCGGTCAGACTTGTATGCATGGTTCCTGTTGGGTATATTTACTGATCACTGAGCCCAACTTTGAAATTACTCTCGATCCCAATCAAAAAACTAAAGAAGCTGCTAATTACTGCTTACAAAACTGCTTAGGAAAACTGTCTTCTTACCAAGCATTGGCAGCTGTGATATAACTGCTAGGGAAACTAATAACTGCTTAAAAACTGCTTAGGAAAACTGTTTACCCCTAAAGCTCTGGCAGTTATAAAAGAGCAGTAAAAGCCCAACTGTCTGAAACTGTTAGAAATTAACTGCTTGAAATTTGTAAAACTGCTAAAGAACTGCTTCATAACTGCCTATATAGGCAGTTCACTTTTCCATGGGATTTAGCGCCAACCATTCAAAAGTTATGGCTAAGTTAAAGTTTTACAAAAGTAGGTCAATCTCTGAGGTCAAGGTCAGAAATGTTGAGTCCCAAAGAAATGTCTTGTTACAACAAGTACACATGGAATATAAAAGTCCTGGCATCAACCATTTAAAAGTTTAAAGTTTTACAAAAGCAGGTCAAACTCCAAGGTCAAGAGGTCAGAACAAACTTCAATCTACACTATCTGAGGATGTTTTTATAAAGAAATGTCTACATGGCTTTGCTTTTCTTGATAAGAAGAATTTTAAATCCTTTTCCCTACATATTCCTACTTAGTATGTATACATTTGATTGCCCATTGTGGCCCCACCCTACCCCCTGGGGTCATGATTTTAATTGAAGGAACTTGAATCTACACTACCTGAGAATGCTTCCATTTAATATGACTAATCATTGCTTCGCTGTACTTGAGAAGAAAATTTTTAAAGATGTTTCCTAATATTCATAAACAAAAATTTGATTGTTCATTGTTGCCCCATCTTATCCCCTGGGGTCATGATTTAAACAGTTTGAATCTACACTACAGAGACAGCTAGACAGACAGATGGATGGACAGATGCCAGACAAACTTCAATCAGAAAACTAACTCGAGTCTTTGGTGCAGGTGAGCTAAAAAGGGGAGGCAACTGGTCAATTCAGGTTGGGAAATGTCTTGAACTTTGCCTCTGAGTCTCACACTTTTTTCAATGTCACAGTGCAATTTAGTGACATTGAAGATTATTACTTGTTGAGATATTGAGATAGGAAAAAAACATGTTACCTATTTTCACAAAATTATGTCATTATAATGACCCCTGTCACAATCCTTCATTATTTTCCCCATGCATTGTTACTGTGTGACTGGATTTTCATTGATTGATTGTATGTAGTTTTATATCCCATTCGAGAATTTTTTTACTCATATAGAGATGTCACCATGTACCGGTGAAGGGCTTCAAATTTTAACCTTTACTCGGCACTCAGGGCCATTGAGCATTGAGGGATTTTTATCGTGCTAATGTCTGCCGTGACACTGGGCCTCGGTTTTTAAGGTCTCATCCGAAGGACCCGCAAAGTGCATGGTGAAGGAACAGTTGCTACCCATTTTTTATCAACTTAGGTCAGTCGCGGCCAAGATTCGAACTCACGACCTCCTGATCACGAAGTGAGCGCTCTACCAACTGAGCTACCATGAACAGTTGGATTTTCATTGAGTTTTTAGACCAAATTTAATTGTGACAAAGAAACTTGGCAAAACAGACACACAAGGCCAGAAAAGCATTTTAGAACAATGTCGTTGCCAAGGGGGTAGTTGGGTGTGATTGCCCCCCCCCCTTTAAGGGCAAAAAAAAAATGACCCTGAGTTATTGCCAAGTAAATGCCAATGCATATGGTGACATCTTATATCAGTAAAATAATCTTACAAAAGGTGTAAAATCACAACAATTTATCAATCAGTTTGAAAGTGATACTGCTTTTAGAATGCAGAGGAACTACTCAAAATGGAACCCATTTAAAAAATAATGATTTATGGGAAGGGACACTCTTCCCAGATCCTCCAGGCACCTCCCTTTCTAGAAACCTGTAGAAAGACTGGTCACCTATAGAAAGCTTGTATCCAGAACTGAGGGCATAACTACCAGTACATTATCCATACAGTGCATTAGACTCTACAAGTATCTGTATATTGTAATACATGTACTGTTTTACATTTAATTTTTATGTGGCAGACATTTTTTTCAGTATTGGAAATTTGCTATCATGCAGGAAATGGTTTTATATTAAATGTGCTTGTCATACATTTTGTGGACAATGGCATCCAAATGACACATTTCCTAGTGCCATAAAAATAAACACCTACAAAACAAAAAGTTCAAACAACATTGTTAAAATTGACCTCCCCTGTGATCCAGCAAGACATTTTCCTAATTTCCTTTCAGAAAATCGTGACAAAAAACATTTTAAATGAATATAAAAACACTTAGGATGGAAAATTTAGTCTCTTTTTAATTCATAAATCAATAAGCAAGGTATGTAAATTACAAATTATACTTTCATTATTAATTTATTATAATTAATACAACATATTTAATAACGTTGAAATATACTCCATGCAGTTTAATTTTTTTTCAAATTGCTAGGTAGCAAAATTCTTTAAGTTTCACTTAAATTTTATTACATAACATATATGCCTTAAATTAGCATTACTGATTTGTACATTGAGGTCTTTTAATTATATGTAGTTTTGTTAGAAATATTTTCAATGTCACTCCCCAAGGCCTTAAATGTATCAATTATTGATCTTTAGTCTTATCAGCATAAAAAAATATGAAAGTTTTAAATTTTTAAAATGACTTTGTCACCACACCCCAGGAATATGTCTTGAACAATTTAGATCTTCAGTTTATTACTAATGTGCTTTATGCTAGAGTCCAACTCTGGTGAAATCTGATTGTTGGTTCCTTCAAAGTTTAAGCACATCTCTTTGTAAAAGGATTTCCCCCATCTCTAATTTTTATTTATACCAATGAAAGCCCCAAGGCTTATTTATACTCTATTACATGTTTAACTAATATTGGCCAAGGGGATTTTTCAAATATGGTCCATTTACCAAAAAGTAAGAAAAAAAAAAACACTGTATGAATTACCAACATTTATGCTTTCTGAGTTTCAACTCATATGAGCTTATAATTCATAGGAATTCTTTAGAAAATTGTATTTTTAACTGGGTTTTGTGTAGGAAAAATCAAGTTATAGAAATAGTGAAAATGGTGGGTGAGTGGCTGCCAAAAGGATACATTATTTGTATGGATAAATACTCCTAGATTTCAAGACAGTAAATTTTTATTTTGCCGATCTATTGTACAGTACATACATGTACATCAGAGATGTACTTGGATTTTGATTTTTGACAATTTATGAGAAAAATACCAGTTGTTGAACTTAGTCATTTTTATCCAAAAGATGTTCATGAGGCACACTGCTATTGCAGGGATGTCATCTTCTAAAGTTTTCAAAAAAGAAAGTTTTTATAAAATTGCTGTGAGAAATACCAGTACTATTCACATAAGAGCTAGAATACCCGGTTAACTATTGCACTGACAGTTTTCCATTGTAAGAACATGTACCCATGGTATATTTTTGTTCTTATTTGTTACTTGTTTTGAATAATTCAAGATATTTTCAGGCACCATGTCACATGGTATCTTGTTGATCACTGCTGCTTTGGTTTGCACCCTGACTCCAACAGTGCTTGGTAGCTATGAGGGCAGATCACGGACCATGCTGGGTGAAATCCCCTTAGTAGGAGTCACTAAGACAATACCCATTGGAAATTTCCTCCCCTCTATTGCTTCACCATGCTGTCCATGTCCTGCTCCCAGCAGAATTTACCCAGAGAGATACATAGTTATTGACAGAATGTCTCCACCCCCTCTTCCAAGTTTACCCAGAGCTCATGGTAAACCATATAAATTGTAACTGTAAATTTATGTAAAAAATCATGATCAGAATAGATATTATTCATTATATATATTCATACCTTTATAAATTATTCAATGGATACAATTACAGCAGTATTCTTTATAAAATTAGCACAATGGATCAATAAAAATGCGCACTGGGTATTTGTGTCATAAAATTATAACTGATGCTCACTTTTTTACTTTCATATGCCTGTACTTATGTCAAACATTTTATACCCACAACAGATGACCCTTTGATGATCTCACCAGCATATCACTCTCTGATGATGTCACCAGCACACCACCCTTTAATGATGTCACCCCCTCCCAAGCCTCCAACCATACCATCTGATCCTGAGCCTACTCCAGAAACAAGTGGTGGATCAAATGGTGGTGGGGACCGCTGAATGCCTGCTGACTGTCATTACTAAGAGGAATGCACATTTACAAGTGAACATACACATATTTTCTAGTCTGATATTTAATTTTATTTTGTGTATATAGTATGATATGTAAGCCAAACCCATTTTTGAAGGGTTTGCTCCAGTCTTAGTTCACAATAGTCAATAAAATTTAATATGTTCAATAATTTATAATAATTTATTAAATATTCTTTTGTACATATAAAGAAAACAATTTAATCTTAATTTGAAAGATCTACAAACTTTACAGTAAACTAGAAACATAAATAACATTTACTGGTATTTATGCCTCTGACTAAACTAACAATAAAAAGTTTATCTTCAGACATTGTGAATCACCAATTTTCTTTATGTGTCAACAAGAAATATACATACATCATCATTATCAATCACAAGTATTCTTATCTCTTATTTCAGATGTCAAGCATATAAGCTACAAGTCTGTTTTAAACAAAAGATTCATAAATGAAAATTATATCTCAATGAAAATCAGTGATTATCAAAGATTTATTTGACTAAAAACAACAGCATAATATTATGCATTTTTAACTCTAACATTGCCTCTTACCCCAGTATTTAAAGTTTTTAAAAATAAGTGAATTTCCTCCTAGAGAAGTATGACATAAAATGTACATTTTTAATTTCAGTGTTATTAATTTTACAAATTTTACTCTATTTTCTTTCTTGCCTACTTGTTTTTGTTTTTTTTTTTACTTAAATCTTGGTACTACATGTACAACTTAGCAGAAACAAAAATGACTGAATTTTGTTCAAACTTGAACATACACATATAGAAGAAAAGTAGTGTGCCACACACAAAACCTAGTTCTTTAGACATCTCTTATGCCACCCCTTGAAGAAAAACACGAATCACATCTGTAGAATAATATGAAACCCATATGTCTGGAAGATTTAGAAGTCAATCAAACCTCTTGTTTATCTGAAATGTGATCACACTTAGAGCATGGGAATATTCTTGTTTGTGAGTTAAAATCTACTGAGACAAATTAAGGATAAGCAAGAGACAAAAAATATGTTGCTGAGACAATAGAAACATTTCTTGTGCAGAGTAACTTTAAAACCACTGGAACAGATCTGTAACACACGGATTCAGCTAGTCTACAGTAGAAATCTAAAGAATGGATATTAGAACACAGGAGTAGTGCATCCTGTTTAATCTCTATCCTACATTTATATAATATGTATGATATTTCTGTACATTGTCTTAAAAAAACCCAACTGTAAAGTGGTGTATGTACATGTATATATATAAAAATCTCTAAAATTGTTAAGCCACCACCCTAACTAAACACATATTTCTAATATTCATGTTTTTGGTAATCTCTTACTTTTAAACGAAACTGGTGACTAGATTTATTACCATATTGAAATATTATTCTTTTTTATGAACCCTGTGGAATTCATTCATTATAAAACATGCACACTGGCCACTCTGCATTTAAAGAAACAAATATACAAACAATGAATTTCTTCAATCAAGTAAACATTACAATATCTCCTGTAGAATGCTCTGAATGGTTAGTGTATTGCATATGTAAAAGCCATGAAAAGAGGTAGTTTCAGAAACTTTATTCCTAAAAAGGCATTAGTGGTTAAACCTGTACCCCACTGAGCTAGCCCGTAACTGCCCCCACAGGAAAACACAGGCATGATGAACATCCTGATCAATCTAGGATGCTTACAAATACCCTCAATTGGCTAATTCTTCATCAGATGACCATTAGAATGAATTTCACTCTAAAGTAGGTTGACTGTACATGTATTCATACTTACATGTAGTATGAGTGCATATGTACTTGTCTGTTCAGAACTGGACTAGTATCACATTGTGGAATGCCATATTATAAGTACAGGTGTAATGAAAGACAGTTATAGCATATACAGAAGCACCTTGATCTATAAGTAAATTTCCAGTTAGAAGAAAAGAATTTATGTCATTCTCCTTAACAAGAAGTATCCATCTTTCATACAGGACATAAATAAGTTACTAATGGTTAGGGGGATTTATGAAGCATTTTCAAAGCTTCTTTTAATTGTAAAGATTCGGTGCATGAAAATTTTAAGTTCACAAATGGACAAAAGATCAAGGAAAAACTACTAACATACACAATATAAAAACTATAAAAGAATCATCACATTCATTAATCACATTAAACAAACCAAAAATATAACCCTATGTTTTCCCTTCAAAAATATATTCTCATTACCCTAAGAATAAAAAGTCAGTGTTAATTAGATAACAATTCATGTTCTATAAGCATGCCTATAAATTTGTGCTATAGTTATCTGAATTAACAGAGGAGCCTGAGGGATTGCGCGTGTGATCTTGGAGCTTGGTCTTCATATCTTTCCCTATGCTGCTGGTAGAATGTGGTTTGGGTATCAGGGGAGATGACACAGTTTTATCTTCACTGTTTTCAAGATCAGAATTTTTTCGGTTAAAGGACTGCATCTCAAAGTTGTCCACAACAATTCTTGAGTTGTTTTTAACAACAGCGACATGAACCGAATCCGGTGCATCTCCATTTGACATAGTGGTTTTGTGCTCTGGTGCCTCTTTCTTCGGTTCCTTTGGTTTGGACTTATCCCCCTTGAGAATTGCTTTGGCCAGGTTGAACTTGGAGGCTTTAGGTGCTGCCCTAGGGGAGACAACTTCCTGGGTGTCTTCATCAATGGTTGCCAATTTGGCTGTGTCTTCATCCTGAACTATGCTGATATCATCTAGAAGCAAATGATTTGGAAATGATTATTTATTATTTCAGAACAAATGACTAATAATTTCACGGTTTACCTCATAAATACAGTTTATTTCAACATCAGTCAACCAATTATCTGATCATATCATTATATACACTTGCTCACACTGACAAAAGTATAATGTATATTTATGCAGCTATTTAGCATCTATCAAAAGGAAAATTGCCTACAAATAAGGAAACAGAAAAGTACATTGTATAAAATTTCCACACAATGTTTTAGAATCTTGGTTCCCTATAGTACTTGTACACAATATTTTTTTTTTACCTGGCAATTTTTTGGCTCTAAATGAAGCGTTAGTGATGGCTGATTTGGAGATGGAGTGAGCTGATGTAGACGGAGTGACGGCCATCATTCCTCGCAGACTGTCACTGGAACTAGACACCACAGACTGCAGACTATTGGTCATTGCATTTGTCACCTACAAAACAACAGTGACAAAAAAAAATCAATGATTAAACACTACCTGAGTCCCTGACTTAATCAAACACAGGTATATATTAAATATAGGTCTTCATTATGCCAAGAAAAAGGATGTCTAAATAATAGTTTCTTTTTACCATATACATGTATTACATTTTGTACAGTCAAATGTATCATTAATTAAAGAGTTCAAATTCTAGATATGATCCTATTTTCTGAAATCCCTATAGATAATGTCATTTTATGAACTAACCAGTAAAACATCTGCATACAGTTCATAGCTGGCTCTGTGATGAAGATCATAAATAGCTTTTAGTCCTAAAGATGGCTGGCTATTAAACCTATTGACAGAAAACAAATTTTTACTCAAGTATGTTAGAGTTATCTTCCCTTAAAATACAAACGCATAAACACATCTACGACTTAAGTTGAATTGATCCTACTTTAACACACTAGATTGTTTCAGATGAAACGAAATTAATTTTGAAATTTTATCTAGAATCCCTTTGGGATAATTAAAAGATCAATGTCCTTTGAAGTCCACTTCAAAGAAATCACTTACGTGACATAGTATAGGCCTGAGAGCATTTCAATCATTAGGGAGGGACTGACAGCCAGTCTGGGGGGTAGGTCCCCATACTGACTGTGTCGTCTGTCTTGCTGGGGCGAGTCAGACAGGGAAAACGTAGCAACCTCCTCCTCAGTGTAAAGGTCCGACAGATTTAGGAAACCAGTGGTAGCAATCCTTCAAAACATAAAAGTGAGAGGTCTTCAAAATATTTAGTCTCCACTGAAATTTTCTTTGATATTCTCTCATTTCAAGGCTTTTTAAAAATCAAATGTAAAGATTTAAAAAAAAAATCATACGAAATTGTAACATAACTAATTCATAATACGGGTAATAATATTTCCCTTTGAAGAAGGGGACATATCATTTACTCTAAATTCTTCTTGTTTTTCTTATGCATCTGCATACACCCAGTAACTTTCTTCTAAGTGAGAATTATACCCATAATTTGCAAACATGAAAAGTTAGCACCAGAAGACAATATAATAAGGAGCGTTATGACCAAAATTTGATATTGGCCTTTGACCTCAGATTCAAATAGTAGTTTTTTAACTAAAAGCCTGTCAAAGCAAGAACTTTTAACCTTTAGCTTATGGGTGACATCATAGCAGTCATGACCCAACACTGACATGGACCTCTAAGTCTATATATATTATTATAACAGTAACTTGATCCGAAGAGCCGTATCACGTCAAGTTGGAAGGCGCGGATCATCAGATCAAACGAGACGCTTCGCGTCTTGTTTGATCTGATGATCCGCGCCTGTCAACGAGACGTGATACGGCTCTTCGGATCAAGTTACTGTTATAATGATAAATTTATTATATACCCCTTTACAACTAGCAAAATGTAATAAAAGGTAACTTTTTGGATAAATTACATAACTTTTATGCATTAAACAAACCATTTTTTCTGGGAACTTTTTGAAGCGCGAGAATAAAAACGTCATTTATCTGTGTACTACATCATCAGTTTCAGAGAGGGGTGATATGGATTCAGAAAACCATAGTGTGGTGATCCGGAATGTCGGATCACACCGTCATAAATTGCAAAAATTCAACAGTAAAACTGAGTGACAAATAGTTGGGTATATAATAAAAATAATTATGTTTCGTCTAGTAAATCTGTTCAGAATTGAATTAATTCAGGATGACAAAAATTGGCATGTGAGTGCATCGTTCATTAAAATAGATCAATCTGATTAAACTAAGATCTTTGTTATGCTCTGAAACAAACACTGTACAGCGACTATTAGAATTTTGGAGCATAACAAAGATCTGATTTTAATCAGATTGTATAATGTATTTATCTTGACCCACAGATACTGTGACCTTTAACAAAAGAGTATTTCCTTTTTTTTTCCCTTGAAATTCTGTCTGGAATAAAACTTTTCATCTATTATTATAAGGTTTATGATATTTGACATAAGGGTCTCATCATAAACGAATGTGCAGTCATGTCCTATTTGACCTTTAAAATTACTTGAAGAGGACTTATATGTCTCAGTAGATGAACTAAAACAGCAAAATTTTAGTTTTTTCACAACTTCTATCATCATTTTTTAAGGATAAAACACAATTTTAGATTATAGTGAATAACTAACAATAATAATAAATCAAGTTGTACATCAATATCATAGACAAAGTGCATAACAGTTACGATGATCCATCCACATAGTAAAAATGCCTAGATTACGAGGTAAAAAGAGTCATGGACACAATTGTCTGAGAATACATGCCAAGAAGAATTAGAGGATAAAATTATATATTTCCCTTTGTTGAAGGGGAGACATCATCACTCTAAACTAATATGCACATGAACTGCATAAACTTGGATTTGTCATATAATATTATTACAAACTTCAAGGGTTATCAATATACAGTCTAACCTCTTTATCTCAAACTTGATGGGACAAGGAGAAATTGGAGAATGCTTTCAGATATCAAAGGATTCAAAATATCAAGGTTAAAATACAAATAGAAAAAAAAATTGACATATCTGATATTCCGAGATATCAGTGTTCCAGATACCGAAGTTTAATTGTATAGTTAAGTTTTTCAAAAGTTTTAATGTTCACCTTATTCCTTTTTTTGTTGTGATTGGAAATTTAACTAAAATATCTGAAAAAAAAATTAATGTCAACCCTTTATACATTAAAGTGTAATTCTTTCTTTTCATGTACAGCCACATTATCTGGTAGAGTTTTAAGATTCCTATTCGACCTTAGGTAATTCCGATTTCCCATTAGTCTACATTGGAACGCAATTTCCAGAAATCCTTAAGTCGACCCTACTAATCACTTTGTAAGCTTGATCTTTCGAAAATCGTTGATCTCAGAGAAAAGAGACAGATACTAGATACGGAGTATGGAAAATTTTTGCCTGCACTAAAGTATCTGTTAATTATAATTAATAATCCTGGCTCAGGTTATTGATTGCATACCTGGAGGAAGATTTACAGAACCAGAGATGAGACTGGGATGTCAACTCCGCAATCTCCGTCGTGTACGTCTGGAGAACATTGGACAAAATAGCCTGTCTGAAAAAGAAATATGATGAAAATTTTAATCAAAATCAAAAGAGGGAAGAAAAATTAATATTGAAAATATTCAGAAATGTCAACTTTTTGGATGCATACTAAAGTTATTGGCACTTTTTTCTTTCTTTCCCTTTTTTTTTGAAGGAAAATAAATGTCACATTTTCTCTTTCAATGTGTGTTTCTTACATTTTCTTTCCCCTTGTTCCAATTCCCAAAATTTAATTAAAAGTATAACAACTAAAACTCTTTTACCTCAACAAAATACAGCTGCATAAAACAGGGCAAATCCAAAGACTACGTTTCTGTTTTTGTTTTGGTTGATATTGTATATATAAGAAACTTTTATTATTTGATTTACTGAACATCCTCAAAAAGAGAAAAAAAAAATTCAATACATAACAAGTGACCCCAACTCAAAATCAGATGAAAACTTCAGAAAATTGGAGTCTGCAGAAATATGATTTACTCTCTTAATAAACTTGTCCATAAATTACAAGTAACCTTCATCTCTGAGAAAAAATTGTTTTGTGATCGCCTTGAGCCAAAACACAATGAAGAGATCAATGGAAACAAATTAACTCACTCGAGTATGAAATTTCTAGACGAGGCATTTTTTCCTTCATTACAGAAGAAAGAACACAGTACCTTCTGAAGGCAATCTCTCCTCTATTGATTATGAAAACCAAGACAACATGTGTACAGTTAGCTTACTAATCTGCAGTTGGCATTTAGGCAAATTGAGGGTACACAAATTTTACAGAAAATAAAGTCAAAACAAAAAGTTCTGTAATGAAACACATGCACTACCTTATTTGAAAAACCAGGGTTTTAACAGGTATTTAGGACAACAGTTGAATCAGTATACGTATTGTTAAGGTTTATTTTACATCAAAACTTCTACTTAAATTCAAATAAATAAATAAACAAAAACCTATAAATATTTAAAATTAATTTGGTCATTCACTTACATTAAAAAAATTGTCTTCAAATATCAAAAGCACTGCAGAAACATTGTTCATAATTTTAAAGGAATAAGCACCCAAAGCAACCAAGAGTTAATGCAGTAAGCAGATGACAACAAATATTAAAATTAAGTGATACTGTAGATTATTAAATTTTTGCAATAACTTATTTTCGCAAGGTAGTCATTGACTCCTTCTTAGCAAGACAGAATTTTCACGAATTGTGGTCACTGCTCTTTATAAACTTAAGGAATACTAATATACAAGAGAAAGAAATTTTTGCGAGCACACTGTCTTGCGTAATTAAGCAAAAATAAAGTTCTCATAAATAAAAAGTGATAAATTTACAGTAATCAGAAATTAAGCAGTACATTTGATTGATAGTCCAACATATGGCTTTTAAAATAAAATGTATAAATAAGAAGTGGGAAGAATGTATCATCTTGAAAAAGGAATCTGTCAATGTTTTAATTATATGCAGACCTATAATTAACAAATGTTACCAGTTTCAAAATATAGATCTTTTTGGAGATGTTGTGGAAAATAATCTCACTCTTTCATTTCTTGAGCGACAAACAAATATTGATAAAACACATGGGACAGTTAATTAAGAACATACATGTATGCAACATAGTTTTTAATTAGCTTGAATTTCTTATTTCGTGTATAATCTTAAGAGCTCCAATAATTGAATGACCTTTGTGCGATTTTATGATGCCTGATAATGCACATGTACACCGGCCTCCTCTGAATCAAATTAATAGGAAAATGCCAGCTAAAACTATATTTTTGTTAATATTTCTTTAAAAAAAAAAACACATTGTCATAAGGATTTTAGCTTAGATATCTGTTAAAAACTTCTGGTAATGTATGTCCTTAATATAAGCAAGTGTGTTATTGTGCCAATTTTGTACAAATTAAGTCTAATGTACTCTAGATAAAATCTTCATCAAACCTCGTGACAATGATATGATCTCATAATATAATGGGCTCGAAACAACAATACCTCAAAGGAACATTAAACTTCAATCAGTCAAACTCCTAACTGTGTATTAGGACTATAACCTTAACATAGGTCAACACTCCTCTCATAGTTCAACCAAGTCATAAAATATTGCTCACTTTATACCGGTAAGCCATCAGAATATCATGTATATGTATGCATTCTTAGACACAATAATTAAATGGCAGAGCTTTTACCCAATTCATGAAAATTTCACACTTTAAAAGAATTAATTTGCAACATCTGAAAATCATGTACACGTACATGGGCAAAATAATGTAGGCAAAAACTGCATTTAAGAAGTTGCCTTTACAAAAAAAAAAAAAAAAGAACAACAACAAAAAACAATCATAACGATGTTTGTAAATTTTACACATTTTTAATTTCCGTGATCTTGAAATCTTTCCACCCCATAATATATACTTGTTCTGTTAAATTCTTAATTCAATGACTGTGCATGGTCTTAAACTGCACCAGCAGAAATGATTGACTGTACATGTATTTAAGGAATAACTGTCTTATTTTTTGGATTCATGGTGTGATCAATCGAGTGGCTTGCGTGATAATTTGCATAAACGCCGAAGGCGTTTATGCTTAAAATTATCACGCAAGCCAATCGATTGATCATCGTCATGAATCCAAAAAATCTGACAGTTATTCCTTATATTTACATGCTCCTGATTCTGCAAATTCCCGTGCTAATAGCCCCGCTTCTGTCTCTATTTGTCCCGCCCCGCACGTGATTTTTTTTAACCGCGCCTATCGATGAACCAGTAGATTTATGTAGAAATAAAGTATTTTTACAATTTGTAATTTTATCTCGGACAAAGACATTGGAAATGTAAATATGTTGTTTTACGACCCATTTGAGAATTGTTCACTCATATAGAGATGTCACCATATACTAGTGAAGGGCTTCAAATTAGACCTATACTCGGCACTCAGGGCCATTGAGCAGGGAGGGTTCTTTATCATGCCAATGCCTACCATGACACGGGACATCAGGTTTTAAGGTCTCATCCAAGTGACTTTTACTTCTAGTGCTGGGCACTTTGCAAAGGAACAGTCACTACCTATTTTAACGTCAAAGGTTTGATCCGGCATGGCGAATGAGAATCAAACCCTGGCCTCCCGATCACGAAGCGAACGCCCTACCACTAGGTTACCGTGACCAGTACCCAGCAGAAATGAATGTACTACACTAAATTTACACTACCATAATTACACAAGTGTGTTATACCATAATTACACAAGTATTTGACTGCATTTCAGTTACACAAATTGTAGCCTTACTGTGCTCCCAATATATTTTGAAGTAAAAATTTTTAAACCCTAATACTGATTATGATAATTGTGACTCCACATTTTTATTTTTTAAATTTCTACCTTTGAATGGGGTCATGACCCTTAATTTTACAAACTTAAGTTCCAAGTAACATCTCAAAATAGCTTTGTACAAAGCTTGTTTGCCATCAGCCCTGAGGTTCTGAAGAGAGCAGAAAGCAACAAGCAACACATGACAGAAACTCAGAAAGTGACAAATTTTGGTCAGAAAAGTTCAGCTCAGGTAAGCTAATAAGAACACCATTACGGTATAAGATACACAGGTATCTGGAACTACATAATGCATATCTATTTAATATGTATATTCAAAGTCACAAGCTGTAACCTTGTTGATAGTAACTAAATTTGAATGAAGTAATTGTTCTATACCTGAAGTTCTCTATAAAAGTACAGAAAAACACATAAGAGCTTTCTTTGTTATCTTCAGAAAGTCAAGGAAAATGAAAACGAAAATCATAAAGATGATTCCAGATATGATTTGAGTACATTTCAATATAACTCTAAAAGAAGGTCATCTTGACCTATTTTTTTATGTTGCTAATAATTTCTCCCAAGGCGAATCACCCAACCAAGTTTGATGACCCTTGGGCTCACACTGAATGTGTAAGATATCATCTGTGCAGGATTTAAGTATGCATAGCCATATAATGCCAAAAGGAGATCGAAGTGACCTATATTTTGGGTCACTACACCCCTTTTCCCAAATGATGCATCAACTCACAAGTTCAATAGTCTTAGGTTTCACAGTGTGAAAGGTATGATCTAGACATAATTTGTCTATATTTAGCGACAAAATTCCAAAATGAGGCCACCATGACACCTGATTTGACTTTGTATCCTATAAAATTCCCAAGTGTGGTTACCATGACCTAATTTTGGATCAAGACACCTCCTCCCCTCATGATGCATGAACTGACCAGGTCCAAATTTTAAAATGATACAAAATATGACCCTCACACAATCTGACTATGTATAACTAAATTTTTTTAAAAAGGTCAATGCAACCTCCTTTTTGAGTTGAGACACAGCTTCCCCTCAAGACACTTCAACTGACCAGGTTTGAGGCTCCTATACACCTAACAGTGTACAAGACCAGCTAACAGATAAACTGAAAATGCCATAACAACAGAGCAAGTCAAATTGTCCAGGCATATAAAAACCCTGCCTGGATTTAAGGAAATACGCAACGTACCTTACCTACTGATAATTTTTCAAGATATTCTTAATATAAGATTATAGTGCCATCAGATGTTCGTCGACAAAAAATCAGCATGCATTACTAGGGGTATTGAAAAGATATTAATTGATGAAAATTCTTGTATAATTCAAAGAAAAATACACAAAAATTACTAAACATATATTCTACATGTTTTGTTTACCAAAAATTGTTTTAGAAGAAGTGTACAACAGCATATATAGACATAAAAATGTAGCACACAATTTCTTTTAGTATTGGAACTCTTCAACTCCAGGGAAAAAGACAATAAAGCTCAAAGTACGTTGCATATGTCCTTAAACTCCTGAGCAATTTATTTGGTGGCCTGATTTTTCATCACTGACCTACCCATTATGTACATGGCAAACCTAACTGACATAGTGTGATAGATTTTTCATTAAGAAAAAACATCAAACATATTTTTGAGATGAACATCAGGATGGGAAAAGTATTTTCCATGAACTCCACTATAGCTTCATTTGTTCTTTGATAAAACAGCTAAAGAAATTAGTTAACCAGAAAATTTATATAACACTCAAAGCAAAACTAGATAGTATGCATTTTTAAAATGCAAATTTATACAAATTTTGTCTGGTTTGTATGTAATTACGTACAGAGGTGGTTTTCAAGGTATTCACTGAGTCAAAAAAAATTCCACTATAAAGAATCCTTCGGACATGTGTTAGATGTGCCATTTTTTGACATGTGTCAGATGTGCCTTTGTTAGACAACGTGTTTGATGTGCCCCTTTCAGATATGTGTGAGATGTGCCCCTTTTAGATGTGTTAGATGTCCCCCTTTTAGATATGTGTTAGATGTGCCCCTTTCTAGACGAGTTAGATGTGCCCTTTTTAAACTTGTTAAATGTGCCCCTTTTAGACATCTTTATATGTGCCCCTTTTACATATGTGTTAGATGTACTCCTTTTAGACATGTGTTATATGTGCCCTTTTTAGACATTTGTTAGATGTGCCCCTTTTAGATGTGTTAAATGTGCCCCTTTTAGACATGTGTTAGATGTGCCCTTTTAGACATGTGTTAAATGTGCCCCCTTTAGACATGTGTAAAATGTGCCCCTTTAAGACATTGTTAGATGTGTCCCTTTTAGACATGTGTTAAATGTGCAGTATAAATGCATATCTGGTAGTGAGCATCTCTTATAAGTTTGTTCAGGTATGGTTTTTGGTGTATAGTCACTGCAGGAATAAACTAAATGATGTCATAGCTGCAGCATATATGCAGTCCACCTTCTAGTATTACATGTGTAAATCTGCTTACCTGAATGCAGCCATTTGACCACTTTTTTTTACTTAGCTTACCTGTTTTGTCCATTAATGGCCTCATACTGGGGTAAGGGTCCACTGCACCAGGTCTCTGCCTCGCGACGATCGAGTCTGGATAAGGCACTCTCAGTAAGAGAGATACTGCTGATACTGGTCGGCTACAAAGAAATCAAGTTTGGATGAATCAAACATGTACCGGTAGCTACCAAAGTACTATTATAATCAAGGAGTTCTCATTTAAGGACATTTCCTAGGAAATTTAAATCCAGATTTATTTTCATGGAACACATGAACAAAACACTTAAAATGGGCATAAAACTATGTTTTATATAACCTTAAATAAAAAAGAACTAGTTACAAATCCACAAAAAATTTTAATGGATCATTCATTAAAATCCTGCCATGAGTCCAGGCAAAATAATTGGATCCCTGATAATTCAAAACTTCCTAATTATCATCAGTCAGTAATAAGTGCTACATCCAAGCTCTGATGTCTGGCTTAGAAGTTTTACATCAGTGTAATGTCAATAACAAGTGTTCCGTCTCTTCACTAAAAATATTTTAATGAAAGTTTTTTTTGTCATTTGTTTCCGTATGGAGTTTGCATGAATGCTAATGATGGTTTCTTTTATGCATAAACCCAATTTCAAGAATATTGGTCAGGTTTCAAATATTAATTACTGGTACTCCATTTTTTTCTCAATATTTCTAGTGTGAGTGCATATAAGTATATATGGGTAAAGAAAAAAAAAATAAAAGTACTTCTATATACAGGTTGAATTCAGAGTCATTTGTAGATAATGACTTTCAAAGTTTGTTCAAGAATTAGATTTGAGGCAGGACTTGAGCAAAGATTACCAAGTATTAAAGCTCATGGTTGCCTTTGTCAATGAAATACTCTCAAATGCTATAGTTTTACTTTGTAATTCTTTTTTCTGGCTTAAATAAAGATTTAATTAAAAAAATCATCCCTTCTCCACAAACCATATTGCTTGAAGAAAGTACAGATTTACACTGAGGAGGAGAGTTAGTTATGACTAAATACAAATGTTACAGAAAAATTGCATTTCAAGTTATAAGGTCTTGTGCAATCATGTACCTTAAAACATTTGAATTTGTTGTCAACATATCTTGTAGTCAAACACACTAAATGAAAATAGCTCTAAATGTTTTGGACATGAAAAAAAAAATAATTTTGTAAAACAATACACCCTACTGAATTGCATACTTTCTCCACCCCCCCCCCCCCTTCCACCCCTCCCCCCCCCCAAAAAAAAAGGGTAGTAATGTGAGCAAAATCACAAAATAATATCCCCACTGCAGTTCTTTATAAGTGCCTATTTTTAAACTTTGTACATGTGACCCTGAACTTATTAAAATAACCTTGGTTAAAAAATGACATTCTCTGTTCACAAGTAATCTTGGAGTGAAATATGGACATCCAATTTTTCTCCATTAGACAATTATAGATCTGTCATGAGTTTTACACTTTTTATGCCAGTAATTTTGAACTTCTCAGAATGACTATATTTTTAAGTATGAACCTCCAATGATTTTCCATTACCGTATATACTCGCCTATAAGTCGTTTTTTGGGGAGTTAAATTTTGGTCCAAAACTCTTTATCCGACTTATACGCGAGTTATAAAAAGATTGGTATTTAAGCAGTTCAATCCCTCTAATTTAAGCTTAAAAAATACAACCAACTTATAGGCGGATCGACTTATAGGCGAGTATATAAGGTACAAATTTATAGCCTAGACAATATACTGTATACAGGGTTATTTTCGCCCTGTGTTATTTTTGCCCTTTAATTTTACACTTGCAAACAGTTTTGCCCCGTTTTAAATTCGCCAATTTAAGTCACAGTTCTGTTTAAAAAATTCTACTATGTAATTTGAATTCGCCGTTTTAAATTCACCCACCTGTAAGGCGAAAGAGGCGAAAAATAAAAGGGGGTGAAAATTTCCCTGTATACAGTCTGTGTGTGTGTGTATATATATATATATATATATATATATATATATATATATATATATATATATATATATATATATATATATATTGTTACGTTCCGATAAGTTTACCTGTGAAATTCGGATTAACTGTTGTTGACAAGTTCCCGAATAAACGGACCCTGAACCCGATGTATATAAACTACTAAAATATTTGTCAATGAACAATGAACGAAAGAATTGAACAATGATTTATTATTTGAACTTTATCAATTTGATTTATGTATTGTAATTACAAAGCGTTATGTTGTATATGTTCTATATAGGTACAATGTTATTAAGTAATTTTAGTGGTCAAAACCCGCTAACTTACAAATTAGATATTGATTGTGACGTTATTGGTATCTGACGTTTATACGTCATCATAACAACTTTTGTCTATAAAAGACAGCTGTTTTGTGTTTAGAAGTCAGTCTGCATTGGGTTGCGACTCCGTATACTTCGGGTGTAAGACAGTGGTATGTACAAACAGTACCAAGTCTATGTATACGAAATCATTAGTGAAGAGTCATTCAGAGTAGAAACGTCCTGGATTGACCATTGGTTCGTCATCTTTGTATTAACAAAATAACGTTGTACCAACCAAGTTTATCATTGTGCTTATAATTGAACCATTTGATCGTCTTAATAAATATCATAAACTTTACAACGTGTTATTCGTCACGGTTCTAGTGCAGATATTATAGTGAACTAAAAATTGGTCATTTCGCCAATTATTCAGTGGACCAAAAATTGGTCATTATTCCGATTGTATATAAACTTTGTGGATAACCATTTCAACCTTGACCAGTTACCAGAAACCAACAGCGGCCCACTATTAACTGATTAAGTAATAACCTTATACCCTCGGTTTCGTTACAATATGCATGCATCCTCAGGTAGTGTAGATTCAAGTTATTCCAATCATGACCTCAAGGGGTAGGGTGGGATCGCAGTTTCACTTTTCCACGATTCGACACAGCTTTTCTGTGACAAGTTTTACTGCTTTTATAATTTTTAGCTTTTCCATGACTTTTTTCGTACTCTTCTGTAAGTCAGGTAAAACCTTTTGCCCCCTGCTTACCACAGAGAGGTTGTAATCGTGGCTTTGCAGCTTTTATATAAACGCTGCATCGGTATGACACATCCTCAAGATTATACATCTTCCCCTGATTCGATTTCCATATTGTTTAAAACATGTAAAACCTATCACCAACTAGTGTGAAATGCCAGATTCGTTCAATTTTTATCACCATGTGGTTATGTAGTCACTACCTAGTAGAATGCTTTTGGGAAACTCAGGTAAATACACGTAAATATCAGCAACGGTTTGATGTTAATTGCTGAGCATGACCATTCAAAAATCATGGAAAGGAAGTATCAAAAAAAAAAAAGATAACACATAACATATACATGTAGTAAAAAACCAATCGCGGAAAAGCAGTATAGAGTAGTCATCGAAAAGCAACAAGGTTCTAAAAATAAAATCACAGAAAAGCAGGTCAGCCAGTGGGACCACATCTTTTAAAATCTTCTTCTCAAGAACAGCAAAGCCATGATTAGTCATATTGATATGGAAGCATCTTCAGATAGTGTAGATTAAAGTTTGTTCAAATCAAGACATGTGGGGGTAGGTGGGGTCACAACAGGGAATCAGAATTTTACATAGGAATATATAAAAGAGAAAAATCTGCTGATGAAGAACAGCAGGGCTATATTGACTTAGGTGAACGTTGTGGCCCATGGGCCTCTTGTTTCTGTCAGTGACCTTGAACTTGCCGAGATGACTCTGGGTGAAGTTCCTGGCACACCCTCAGGTCACAATCTTTGTACCAAGTGTGAGCTTCCAATTACTCTCCATTAAAAAGTTATAGGCCTGGACAAAAATGTACTTTTTTGTACTTTGTTGGGGGGGGGGGGGGTTATAAAAAAAAAAGTGGGAGAGTAAATCTCATTCAGCAATTGGAAAATGTTGTCATGGCTGAAAATTTGGCAAAGTATGTTCCATTTACCTCAATGCATTAATATATATCTACTGGATGGGATATCCCACACTCATTTCATTAATATGTGACTTCAATAAGTCAGAGGACTTAACATGTATAGTCAGGCAAGTGGAGCAGGTTTAATTACCTGATTACACCAATTACAGTAATGAAGTTTTTGCTGAGGTCCTGGGATTGTTCCGATATCTCCTGAACAATCTGTTCCAGAAGCAAAATCCCTATGATGCTTAAACCCATTCTCATTTCTTTTTTAAACAAATTAAGATTAGTTACCATAGTTGTTGAAGTTCTTCTCCAAGTTCTACAAAACAATCTAGTTTAATCTAATTTCTTTTTATAGGAAAGAGTCAAAACTGACCTCATGGTACAGAGAGGGCTGAGAAAACGTTGGAATGCGGAATGTCTTTACTTTCGGTTTCCCATCAGGTAATGTTGTTTCCTGCAAATCAAACACATCAAAATTTTAAATGAATAATTCTTACTCAGAGAATAGCTGCCAAAAACAGCTGAAAAACGTGTCATTTCCATGAAAAATCTGGATAAAATTATTGATTTGAATTCAAAAGTACTTGTACATATATGGGCTTTTACACACCAAAATGTTTTCTGACTCATTTGAATCTTCTAGCAAAAGTGTAGAATGTTTCTATTTTCTGATCATTATATAACTCTCTAAGCTCTGCCAATTCAACAACACACAGTAAAAAGTTTCCTGTGAAAACGCATTCAACTAATTTTTTTTCTTCATTCTCATAAAAACAGGTTGTAATTTGTTTAATGTACAATTATTTTAGCTTTAATCTCATTTGGGAGTAAGTAGAATGTCTGCATGTAAAACACAGTGTGATTAGACCAATCGAATCAATAACAAGGAACCATATGTTTTCTTCATCCAATTACCTTTGAAGCTAAAGCTTCTCAGTAATTATACCAAATGTTCCAACGTAAAACGACTTTTCCACTGAATACATTTTTACTCTGCTCCTTTCTTAGAAAAAGGAAGACTTCAATGAGATATGCACCGTATAACACTAGACTTAAATTTCTTTTGTCTGTCAATTAAATTTTGCGACTTTTGTCAGACGACCCTTTGATGCATTGTTGTAATTATATCCCTCAGATGGTACGAGATGCGCAAAAAAATTACTGAAAACCTCATTATATTTGTTAAATTTTTTTTCCCAGTTTCATCATTATTTTTCCATTGTTACCTAGACAATAAATGAAATAGGAAAAGTGATTCAGACTGTCTATCAACAATAATCACAAGTTAAAGATAGATTTTCACCAATTCGCATTAAATTTTGGTTAATTTTTGGAAGCAGGTTTTTGATGCTTTGTACTCAATGTTCTGGGGTCAGTGCAAGCTACACTCTTAGACAACACTGAATTTTAAATAAATGTCCAGTATGTTAACCTTTTTGACTTCTTTTTCCTATTTTTATAATTAAAGTAATAATGGTATGACATATGAGCTTGGGCAATTAGACACGAAAGAAATTGTTCTGAGTCGTCTAAATTACTGAAATTTTCGAGAAAAGAAATAAAAGCACTAGTAGTTCACTGGACAACATAATGAGCCAGTCATGTAGACCATCCACCTAATACCTGACCATCTGCATTAAAATCTGATCTGAAATAAGTCACCAGAGCTCTCAGTCTGCTTTGTTAATCTTTACTTTCTCTTTTCTACTGACACATGAATTTTCTTCAGTTGAAGAGCAGCGAGGTAATATTTCACATAATTGAGTTCTACAAATATCAAAGTCACTCATTATTGGGCCTATATGAACAGCATCCATAGAGAAGTTAATGAGGAGGTTTCCTAAACACTGCCATATATTTCTCCCAACAATCAGAATGATTAGAGAAATATCAGCGGCCATTATTATCATGCTCAGTTCTCTGATTATTTGCCTTCTACCTTTATCTCATCTAAAGAAAATGTCATTTGACTTCATTAGCTAGTTCATAATTAAATTTTTCCTTTAGATATACTGACATGTGATTTGAAAAATCTTTTTTTTATGACTTAGGAACAATAAATTAAAAGTTTTTCAATCTAGTAGAAAATGTCTACCACATAAATGGTCTTCATTTGTTCGCAAAGAGTTCTTTCAGTTAATACTAATGCTTTCATTAGTCTTATATTGCATGTTCAGTTAGTATGAAGCATTGCCATTCAGATCTCAGTATACTGTGTACAGGGTTATTTTCGACCTTTCGCACTTGCGAACAATTTTGCCCCATTTTAAATTCACCCAGTCACAGTTTTGTTTAATTAAGAAATAATACTGTCTTTTTTTTTAATTTGCCCCGTTTTAAATTTGCCCACCTGTGATCAGGGCGAAAGGGGCAAAAATAAAACTGGGGCAAAAATTTCCCCTGTATACAGTAGCTTAATTTTTTTACTTTTCTTAAAAATAAAAACATCAAGCTTTTCCTTATCCCTTGCCAAAAATACCAGACAACACATATGTACAAGACTGGACATTTCTTCAAAATGTTATGGGCTGACTAATAATAAGCACTTCATATAATAAAAGTACTTGAAATGCCATGCACTCACTTATCCTAGTATTCACAATCATTTTACATAAAGACATATTACAGATTATACAAGTATAGCTATACAACTGCTCTAGGAAAATGCAATAAACAACCACAATAGAACTACTAAAGCAGGCATCATGGTTAGTTTTGTTGTTTTCTCTGCAAATCAGTGGTACAACTGCTGATAAGTATAATTATATCTAGCAATCCACCACTGACGAACAGAAAGCACAAGGTTAGTAGATGCTTTACAAATTCCCACAGTTCAAGACTTGAAGCTGGAGTTACTGCCCCTAGATAAAATAATTTATATTCTAAGAATGCAGTCCCAGAAGTAAAATATTAATACAAGCTGCATACTTTGCAAAAACCTATAAGCTACAAAATAAGGACACTCAACATATCTCAAGGAAAAAAAAAAAAATCAAATCCTATTGCCATTCCAAATTCAAACAGTCAAGGGCCATAACGGATATATTTAACATCTGATATAAAACCACTTAATAAATCAAATGTAATTCTATTAAAACAGATTGTATATAGCAGTCCTTAAAACTTTGCCTCTATAAAGAAGTTATAAAGAGATAAAGAACTTTCACCTATAGCAAAATGGAGATGTTAAGTTCAGTCACTCGAACTGTGAAGCAATCTGTGAAGCAATCGTCAAACTTCTGACAACTGGCTGAACACAAATAGACACAGCAACAATTCAGATCTGACACTTACCAACAATGAAACAGCTAGTATCAAAGTAGAAAATCATGTCTGGATTGAAATAGAAAACTGTGAAGACCATCATTGATGTGAACCTCGGCAGATGTAAAACTCGGGTAAATCTCTGTCTTCACACCTCTCCACACCACTACCCTGTCTGGCAAACGAGATTCACAGTTTCCCCAAGGTTTTATGAAAAACATGCCATCACCTTACAATCTGCAGCCATGGAGGCCAGCCAGGTATATTCTTTAGATAATTATGGACTGCAGCCACAGGTAGAATTACAGGTAATGGCCAGGTATGTGAGAGAACAATGGTTGACAATAACAGGTATTTTAGAGGTACATGTACATTTTGGTAGTTCACTCTTACCGACTATAGCCACCATGTCACGGTATTGACATTTACAATGTATTGCACTCCCAAAATAACTTCTATTTCTCTAATGAAATTAGCATTAAGTAAACTAATTACAAGTCTAACTTAACAATCCTTTTCTGGATGTAATGAAGATAAATTCTGCACATTTTATCCTAAGATATTAAAAAAAACTGTAACCAAATATAGTTTTACCCTCTCTTAAGGATATTGTCAATTTAAATACTTTTGAATTTTCTTTGCAACTATTGGAATTTGCTAAATATAACTTGAAATCTGAATTAAAACATGATTTAATTAAGTACATATTATATATATCAAACATTTCCTTTATCATAAAATTATAAAAGACCTTTTGCTGTTAACTTATTTTAACCTTCTTTATTTTTTGGTATGTATTAATTACTTCCAATATAAAAAGTGTCGGAAAATTACATTCCTTATTTTTATTGCAGAATTCTGTAGGTCAACCAATTACTTCCCGGACCCTTGAACATGAATGGGAGGTAATCAAAGGCGAAAAAACCCTTACACTGATCAACTGTAGAAATCTAAAATATTTATATCTGTAATCTTTTCTCCAGTATTTAAACCAGGGCTGGATGGCTGACTGTTTCTTTGATCGGTGTATAGGCTTTGGGTTTCATCAATAATTCAAATTTAATCATGTATCCAGTTTAATGATCAAGACTGTCTATTGACAAAAACACCAACTATTTAATGTAAAGTGGGCAAATTTTCCTATTCTCATTAAATAAGACTAGTATTTTATTTTGTTACTCTCTAGGGTATAGTTAATAAATTTGATGCAACTGTCTTATATTAATAAAAGAAATGGTCAGAATAGAACATTAATGCAGCATAAAGGAAAGACAGAATGGTTTCAACATAAAACTCAATATGAGTATTTTGAAATTTTCATATTTTAACTTCTTGAAAAAAAGTCAACTGATGGCAAATTTTAGAACTCTTTTATTTCGGAGGGCAAAATGCTTCACTTGATCATTGGTGATAGTATACCTTAACAGCTAGAGGATTAAATTACAATCTTACCTGGACTCATCCATCAGAACAAATGTATATTGACACGACAGAGCTTGCTCGCACAAAGACAATTCAACACAATGAACTGTGCTCCTGCAGGAATAAAGTCCCTTTGGATTGATGAGAACTTACAAGTATAGCAGCTATAATATACCACATTTAATTATCACCCTCAAACAGGTGGGATGAGGCTAGAGAAAACTGACCAATCACAATGGAGATGTAGAAAAGTCACCATGGAAACCAATACAAGGAAAAGTAGCCTAGGTAATATTTACATTACATGATAAGCAGCTATTTTAATCAAATCTGGACGAAAAGGGTTCAAAAAGCCAACGCATTCCAAGTACTGGTAATTATAAGCTAATTAGCAAAGTTGAATTTCAATACCAGCAGTATGTGGTTTGGAAGAGACAGGAGTGAGTTGGCAAATTTTCACATAATTCACACCAAGAGAAAAGAAAAAGTATGGGAAGGTGATAATAAGCTTTACACCTCAGAGTGGCCAACAGGAACAGGTGAGTAACAGGAGGCCCTGAGGTTCTCGGCCAGAAAAATTAGGGACTGCATAAATGGCTGTCCATCTAAAAAAATTAATTAAGCAAACATACACTCAATTATAAATGACACAGATATTCAATATACCGGAAGTATTTTGTCAGCTGAACATGCTGACACCAGTAAGAGCTTAATTGGCTTTTCTTTTCATTTAAAATTATTATTATCCATTTCAATTAAATGAGTCAA